GTGGTTAACCGACACACTAACCTGGATTTAACAAGGTAGGAAAAGGGTGGCTTAAGGTTTATCATAGATCGGTGGAGCGCGTGTGGTTAACCGACATATCGGTTAGGTGATAAAAATTAAGAGTACCAAGTAATTTGCATGGTTATTTCACATCTTGTTTTATGATCCTCAGTATCCTAGTGACAAACTCGAAGGGCACACTCGAGATTGAAACATGCCATTGAAAAGTTCAATGAATCTCAAAAGAATCTAGGAGTTTCAAAACCAATTAAAACCTAATAATACATTTCGATTTTCATGGTGGAAGTTGGTGAATCGTGATTCACCTACCTTCAAATATTTTTTAGATTGAATTACGGCATCCCTCTTCTAAGTTATAAAATATTTGGGTTGGTTCATAGCCTTAATATTACATTGGGGTGTCTTATTAAGGACTATCATTATATCTAATCTAAACGTGTGTTTTTTTTTCAGATGTCTTCCAATAATGCTGCTTCTGGCTCAAACCCCTACCGGCTCATTCTCTCTCATGAACCTATGTGGGAGAGTCATCTTCGATGGTTCCAACTTTAAAGATTAGATTCGAAACATCAGTATGGTCACTCATTACAAGGACAAGGAATATGTCCTCGACAAGGAGCTTAAGGAACTTGATGAGTCGTATGTTACTCCTGAGGAGATCGTTGAATTCCGGACACATGAGAAAGATGTCACAAAAGTGGCATGTATCATGTTGGCCATGATGACAGCCTAACTCGAAAAGTCCTATGATGACTTTTACCCTTTTGAGATGCACTAGGACTTGATGGACCGCTACCATCAAAATGCTCGTCAAGAGAGGTATGTCATTATCTCCTAAATGATAACAACCCGAATGAAGGATGGTGAACCCATCACGGGCCACTTACGGAAAATGCAAAGGTATGTGGACCGTTTGCTGAAACTAAATGTGAACCTCCCTGAGGAGTTGGCATTTGACATCATTTTTCACTCCTTACCTTCTTGTTATGATCAATTTCGAATGACATACCACATGAACAAGGAGGAAGTTACACTCAGCAAACTTCGAGGACTTTTGAAGACTGTCGAAAGTGGTCTTAAAGGTAAATCGGTTGTTACCACTCTTGCTCCTACTGCCACCCCTATCTTAGCATTCAAGCAAGGTAAAGGGAAGAAGAGGAAGAGCCCTTCGAATGGTACTGATGAGATATGGTCCACTGGCATGGCCTAGACTACTCTAGCGCGTCAGCCTGGCCTGACGCACTCCTACCAGCCCTGCCTGGCGTTCCCTTGCCAGCCCTACTGGAGTACTGGGGACTCTCCTGTCGGCCCGACCAGGCACTCCCTCGCCTGGAACTCCCTTGTCATCCCTTCCTGGTGTGCGCCTGCCAACCCCGCTTGGGGTACACCCGCCAGCCCCTCCCATCGCCTCCGGGTGGCCTTGCCCAGCTCATTGCTAGTTGGGCCCGAATTGGGCTGGCCCAAGGCCTGACCTAATTCCCATTGACCTAATTATCCCCTATATAATGAACAATATCTCCTCCATGGAGAGGGATCTTCCCCCATGGCTCAGCCGCCACTATACTCCAGCCGGGTGGCTCAGCTGCCACCCGCCACCATCAACCACCACACCAGCATCACCAAGATGGTTCTCTCCAACTATAGAGGACCATCTCAGATCTTCCAGTTGATCTAACTTGACCGTCGGAGTCCGCTCCCGGGGCACAGTCCCTGGGACAGCTCTAACGAGGTTCTCTGATTGTGACTAGCAGATCTCCGCCGCAGCAGAAGACCAGAAGACTTGCCGGAGGTCGATATCGCATCATTTGGCGCCATAGCGGACACGAACGAGCATCCACCATCTCGTTCTTGCCTAGATATGTTCAGATCTGTTGTGCTTCAGCTCAGGTTTGACTAGATATGTTAATGTTTAGCATCATTTGGTTCAGATCCGCTTGGTTATTTACAAGATCTATCCATATGATTTAGTTTTTTCTAAGATTTGTTCAGATCTGATGTATTTTCATCTAAAGTTTGCTCAGATCTGTCCATTTCTACCCTCCTTAGTTCGGATCCGATTGGATATTGGCAAAGATCTATCCAGATCTGATTAGCTAAGTTTCAGATCTTTCGATCTGATGCACTCTTTGTTCAAGATCTGAAGATGTACTTAGTTTATAACTCAGATCTTTAGATCTGAATGTTTTTGTTAACTGATTCACCTTTCAAGTTCTAAAAACACAATATCAAGCCCGTTTTTATTTGTATTTTCGGGGAGAGAAGAGGGTTTTTTTGACCATTTCTCCATGTTTGTTCATATTTTGGTGTTTATCGAAGTAACTTGAGAGGAGAAGAAATTTTTCGTGACTTTTTACTTTGTTTTCAGTTTATGTTACAAAAAATGACCTTCAGTTTATGAATTTCTTTGCAAAGCCCCTCTGAAGTAGTCTATTTAGTGTTTTCTCTAAAAAGATTAGAGATACAGAATGAAAATTGTTCCAAATCTGTTTTTTGCTCATATCTTCATAGCTTGTTGAGCAAGCTGAAAGAAAATGAAGCTTTATGAGCAGTACCTTATTAGATCCGTTTTTCTTTTTGAGTTTGTTCAGCAAGGGGGGGGGGGTGGAGAAAAGAAGTTTTTTATGAGTTTCTTTTGTTCATACATCATCTGGAAATTCTCCTCTAGTTGTGCATTTTCTTGTACATTCTTACCCACTGCAACAGTTATTTGTACAAACAGCTATATGGCTTGTACATTTTACAAAACCATAATAAAGAAAATAGAAGGGAGGAGAAGTTTTGTTGGGTATTAACCCATTTTCAGTCCATGTACTTTTCTAAAAACCTCATCTTTAAGATTAATAAGTTCCTGTAAATATTTTATCTTCTCAAACTTTCAGAAAACACATTTTCACCCAGATCAGTTTTACAATTCCTTTTTCATGGTTTACTAAGAAAGTTGAGAAGCAAAGAAATTTTTTAAATTTTACCATATTCCAGTTCATAGATAATTAAAAATTCATTTTAGCAATGAGTTTATGTATAAAGTTGTGCTGTAATCCTTATATATTTGAAGACACTGGTAAAAATTATTTTTACCTTATAGTTTTACCATGAATAAATGGTTTTCTTTAAAAAAAGGCGGAGAGGTAAAAAAAAGGCATAGAGATGAAGTGTTGAAAGAAAGTAGACAGTAAAAAGAAGAGAAAGGATACGGACACACAAAGTTGAGTGGTGTTTCCTTCTCACATCAACAAAAAAAATGAGATACAAATTGCTCTCTGTCGTTTCATGGCCGACCACAAAAAGAAAAAAAAGGGGGAAAGGGGCATGGTGTATAGACAAATGACAGAGCTGTCAACAAAAGTCAAAAGAAAAATCGGGCCCCACTTGGCTTTCTCTCTTTCCAATGGAGTAATGGCCTCTTCGTTTCCAATGAATCACCAGCGACAACAACCGGAGCGTCGCCATCGCCAGTCACCGTTGTGCCACCCCTGCCACCGGTCATCTCGAGACAGCGACATCCGGTGAAGCATCCTTGGCAGCAACCTTCAAGCCAGCGCCCAAGCGTCTCCAATGGACCTAACAAACTAGTGTCAAATGCTACTTAGGTTGTCATGTTGTGAGCAATCCCTAGACTACTCGCCCACCAGTGGAACGATCACCTCCTCCGATCGATGCATCTACAAGGCAACAACAACAACCATCGGGGACTACGCAATCATTGGGAACTACAGAACACCATTGCCATCATCACAGTTGTACAACCTCAAGCTATCGGAAAGATGAAATCCGGCCACCTCTAACCCCAACAAAATTGTCCAGCTGCTATCATTGGTTCCCTGTGCTCAATTAATTGTCACCGACTGAAGCCACAACACCGCCAGAACCAACATCACCGGTTGCCCCAACTAATCGAGGTCGACTCCGACAGTGACTTTCACCCCTACCATCGGCTGCTTTCCTGCTTTCTCAACCCATCGCTATCCTTTTCCACCTTCAATTGAGCAACTCCAATCGTCGACCCAGCAGCTCCAGCCTCCAATCGACGATGGCAAGGCCATCAGTGCAACCCTTCGCCAGACCATACCGCGACCCACTGTGTTTCATTAATCGCCACCTGTGGTAGCACATCTAATCTCCCCTGCATCTGTCGAACTCTAGCGTGTAATCACCAGGAGCCCCGACCACTGGAGGAACTTAAATCGCCAGCTGACCATTGCCGCTTGCCTCCAGTGTCAACAAAATAGCCTCAACTGCAACCCCTGTCTTCACCAACACGCCTCTTTCTTTGGCATTTTCTTACGACAAAATGAGATAACAAAGTTGATGTAACCCTCAAAGCTAATAAAAAAGATAGCGGTCTTACAATATCTATTTCTGTATTTCATATCCACTACATCCACAAACAAACTAGGCTTATGGATTTGCATTTGGGCTCCATTAATTCACAAATGGGTTGAATTTTTTGTAAGTTGGTTCCAAACAGATTTATCTTAGGATCGTATATCAAATTCGACATTTCTTTGCATCGCTTCAATAAATAAATGGGATCATTTTCTTAATATAGGAAATAACTATTTACTTGTGTGCCTCAAGCTTCACTCAAAAAAGAGAGAAAAAAGGGGAGCTGGGTTCCAAACGGGTTGCAACAACTCCACAAGTGGGCTCCATAAATTTTATTTTAGACTTGGCTAATTATTTTATTAGGACGATAGGCTGCAGTAAATCACCTTGGGCTCCGTTTAAGCTTTTTATGGGCCATCTCGTATGCAGGCTAATTTGGCAAAACTTGATCAGCCACTCAAAGCTTGCGTGTTGTGATCCCGCCCAATAATATATATTCTCAGAAAACTCTTTGTAGCACGGATCAACTCGAATTTAAAAAAAAATCATCAAAGCTCGTGCGCTCCAACCCAGTCAAGCTAAGTCCAATTTCAGAAGATGTGATCCAACCAACTCAACGTTTCAAAAAAAAAGGGGTGGTGGAGAATAGTAGTATGTTACTACTACTCGTGAAGCATTTTGAAATAAACCCCAGTAGTTGCGCCGCCCGGCTCTCAGCAGCCATGAGATCCAGCTCGGCAACTGTAAAAAGCCCATTCCCCAGTTATTATGTCGCCTAACTCCCAGCAATAACATTGCCCGCCTCCCGGCAGTTGTGTTGCCCAGCTCTTAGCGATCGTGCTACCCAACTCTTCTCGGCCCGCTTGAATCGCCTAACTCTTTCTAGTAGTTGTATTGCTCAGTTTTCAGCGGCTATGCATCCAACATTCTCTCTCTCTGCCTCCTATAAGAAAAAAGAAGGGGAGAGAAGGATTAGCGACACTATGCATAAGTGATTTTAGTGTGAAGGGACAAAGTTAAAGTACATGAAGAGTTGATACTATGCATGATAGTGCATTCCTAAGACGACATTAGTATTTCGGGTCGAAAGAGCAGCATCGTGGTCCAACTCTCGGTAGTCTTGTTGCCCAAATCTCAATAGTCGTGTTGCTCACTTATCGCTAGCAGCTCGCTGCCAAGGCCTCAGCGGCCTTGCTGACCGGTTCCTGACAACAGCCTCGCTACGCATCTCTTAACTGTAGCTACACTATCAAGATGTAAGTAGCACTGCCACATAGCTCTCCGCAAATAGCCAAGACACCGAGGCATCAATTACTAGTACGACTAGAGAGGCAGCAAAGCATCAGGTACCATTCCGCTTTAACCCAAACTGGTCACATGAGCTAGACACATAGATTGTAGGGTGCTACGCCCAGTCGTGCGAGGTTCAGTACCCCCGCCTCGAGTCGCTTGGTTTTTCAGCCCGACTCCATTATAGCAGCAAGCTCCGCATGCGAGGTTCAGTACCCTCACCTCAAATCGCCCAACTTCCCAGCCCAACTCCATAATAGCGGCAAGCTCCGCATGCGAGGCTCAGTAACCTCGCCTTAAGTCGCATGGCTCCCCATCCCGGCTCCATTATAGCAGCAAGCTCCGCATGCTAGGTTCTGCACCCTCGCCTCGAGTCGCCTGGCTTCTCAGCCCGACTTCATTATAGTGGCACGCTCCACATGCAAGGTTCATCACCCTTGCCTTGAGTCTTCTGGCTTCTCAACCCGACTCCATTATAGTGGCACACCCCGCATACAAGGTTCAGTACCCTCGCCTCGAGTCGCCCGACTCCATTATAGCGGCAAGTTCCGCATGCGAGGTTCAGTACCCTCACCTCGAGTCGCCTGGCTTCTCAGCTCGACTCCATTAATGGCATGCTCTGCCAACGAGGCTCAAAGCTCTCAACCTTTGCCTATATGAATCCACGTGATGCTTTCCCGCGTGATGTACTTATGATCGCTGGCAGCCAAGCCCGATCCATTCCACGCGATGCTCTCCCACGTGATTTATCTACAATCGTTAGCAGCCAGGCCCGATCCATTCCACGTGATGCTCTCTCGCGTGATTTATCTACGATCGCTGGCAACCAAGCTCGATCTGTTCCACTCAATGCTTTCCCGTGTAACATCTCCATGAATGTTGGCTGCTAAGCCCAGACTATTCTTCTAAGTCACGCAATATAATTCGCGTATCGTCGTGCATCGTAAGTTGCACATCGTAAGTTTATGTCATGCTTAGCACCACATTTGGGGTCTCTTCTCTTATAATCAACATGGTTTTCCTATGCTCGGACGAACAATAAGGCGTTTCCTAATCTGGTTGTCTATTATGATAGCAAAAAACCTCACTGGGTATTCTCATAAAAACCTTGCCTATGCACCATAGTCTGATATGGCTACCTACGCTGCCCACATCAGACTAGGGGGAATCCAACTTGGAATAGCTCGAGCAAGTAACACCTTCGGAATGGTTATCAATGCTCATGAAGAAAATTATCGATGACATTCCCCCAAGACGATGGAAATGCCATGACAAAGATCTCGTACACCAGCCCCACTCTGCAATAACATTATTAGCAGCTTTGCTCCGCATAACACTGCCAACAATAGTTACGTTGCATCGCACCGACAGATCACACTCCTCTTAGTGAAGGAGTACCAAGCCAGCTCAAGCTGCATAAGCAATGTTTGGCTCATCGCACAACCCATGGCTCTCGTGGGCGAGGTTCGGTCATTCTCTCTGTTATTTAATGTATTGGTGCTTTATCTAGTCTGATCCGATTGTCAGCAACCCAATCGCGTCAGACTAGGGGGACTTGACGATGCACAATTTATTTGACTAAGTCCAGTCCGATGTCATTGGTCGCATACCAATAACACCATACTGGGGGGACTTGATAAAATATGATCCATTAGCATGGCCCAGACTGCTCTAGCACGCCAGCCTGGCCTAGCGTGCTCCTGCTAACCTTGCTGGGGACTCCCTTACCAGCCCCGCTGGGGACTCTCCTGTTGGTTTATCCGACTAAGTCCAGTCCAATGTCATTATCCGCATACCAATAACACTAGATTGAGGGGACTTGATGAGATATGGTCCACTGGCATGGCCTAGGCTGCTCTAGTTTGCCAGCCTGGCCTGGCACGCTCCTGTCAACCCTGCCTGGCGTTCCCTTGCCACCCTTGCCTGGTGCTCCCTTGCCAGCCCTGTTGGGGACTCTCCTGTCGGTCCGGCCAGGCGCTCCCTCGCCTGGCATTCCCTTTTTATCCCTTCCTGGTGCATGCCCGCCAGCCCTGCCCGGCGCCTTCGGGCGGCCTTGCCCAGCTCCTTGCTAGGTGGGCCTGAATTGGGCTGGCCCAAGGCCTGACCTAATTCCCATTGACCTAATTGTCCCCTATATAATGAACAGTACCTCCTCCATGGAGAGGGATCTTTCCCTATGGCTCAGCCGTCACCCGCCGCCATCATCCACCACACCATCAGCACCAAGATGGTTCTCTCTAGCTATGGATCACCATCTCAGATCTTCCAGTTGATCTAACTTGATCGTCAGAGTCCGCTCCCGGGGCACAGTCCCTGGGATGGCTCTAACACGGTTCTCTGATTGTGACTAGCAGATCTCCACCGTAGCAGAAGACCAGAAGACTCGCCGGAGGTCGATGTCGCATCAGGTACCAAGGGAAAGTCCATTGATGGCTCCTCTTCAGGTAGAACCGAAGGTGGTTCTGTCACTCCTTCTGCCAACCCTAAAGAGGCTGAATGCTTCTATTGACATGAAAAGTCACACTGGAAGCGAAACTGCCCAAAGTACCTGCAAGATGTTAAGGATGGGAAAGTGAAACCCAACCATGCAGGTATTTACACTATATTGTCTAATACCTCACCCCATTCTAATTCTTGGGGTCCTTGATATAAGTTGTGGTATTCACATATGTTCTGATTTGCAGGGACTAGAAAGAAGTGAGAATGTGGAGCATGGGAAGATAAACTTGATCATGAGGAATAGGAAAGCTTCACCTGTCACCAACATTGGAGTTTATTCTTTGTTGCTAAGTAGTGGTTTAACATTAGATTTGAATAAATGTTGTTACTCGTCTGAAATGGAGAGAAATATTATTTCCTTTCATGGTTTGTACAAACAAGGGTTTACATTTTGTTTGATAATGAATGAGGTGGTATTAATGCTTTCTTTGACAATGTTCTGTATTTTAAATCATTACCTTGTGATGGTGTATATGAAAGAGAGAGAGAGAGAGAGAGGGAGTTCATAAGCTAAGGAAACAGTGGAAGTCAAATTGACCATGGATAAATTCAAGAGTCAAGTGGTGAAGGAACCTCAAACCCTAACAATCAACTTGAGGAGGAAACTCCGATTGATCTGACTGACGAGTCTGTACTACTGAGGCTTTCCACGAGAGTTAGGAATGCACCTGAGCATTACTATGGTTTCCTTATTATTGCGGAAAATGATACACTTATCAGTGATAACACACCAGTAAGTCTGCATGAACCTAACAACTACACAGAAGCCATGGTAGGCCCTGAGGCTGCTAAATGGAAAGAGGCTATGGACAAAAAGATCTAGTCCATGTATAACAATCAAATTTGGAACTAGGTTGACAATGCGCCAGGTCGCAAGACAACCGGGTGCAAATGGATCTTCAAGACGAAGACCGACATGAATTGTAATGTACACACTTATAAGGTGAGGCTGGTTGTAAAGGGGTTTTCTGTAACGCCCGTAGATCCGGGCTAGTCAATTTAGAGATAGTAGGGGTCGAAAACAACTTTTTGACAAAAGATTATTTCGAATAAATAATCTTAACCAAGTTGTAGAATATGTCTCAAGGGTTCCGTACATATAAAGAACGCTGAAATCCGAGTTATAACGAAGAAGTTGTGACATGTCAAAGTTTCGCGACGGAACCGGCACGACACCGGGAAGCGTAAAAATTCAATTTACTATAGAACGAATTTTAGCTATAGCGATATAAACGAAAGTCGTAGAATACGTTAAACCAAGAGCGTCCTTAAAAAGAACGCCCAAATCTGACTTGGTATGAGGAAATTATGATTTTTCGAAGTTTCAGCTTAACAGTGTACAACCCGAAGTTCAAATATTAGATCGAGCGGTTTCTAGCCGACACGACCTAAATAAGAATCGGAGATCTCGTTAATAGAAGTGTAACGGTAAAAAGACAGACGAAAACGGACGTTGGATGAAGAAGTTATGGATTTTTAACGGACCAATCCTGTCTCGGTCTGCTAAAAATATAAAATTTAAAATAAAGTCAAAATTAGCCGACAGAGTCTAAACGGAAGTTGTAGAGTACGTTCCCGCCTATGTGTGGATATAAAGAACGTCGAAAATGGATCCCGTACACGAAAGATATGAATTTTTGAAGTTGGGAGTGCAATTCACGAAGCTGGGTGCGATGGGTACGCCCAACGTATCCGAGAACGCGTCGCGTAGTCCGAAGAAAGCCTGGAGATGTGAAGTATGCTCCACGCCGGAAGGAGTTACGCCCAACGTTCAGCTATCTTCCATGGTCCAGGAACGAGCCACGTCGGACCATCCGGAGTTCGCCAAATGCTGATCTTATTCGACTTACGACCTGCATCCGAGGACTGGTACGCCCAACGTACGTCCGAGGAGCACCTATAAAAGGGCAGCGAAGGCTGCCGACTTCCTTACTCCAAATCCACCTCTTTCTCTCACTAGTTTCTCTCTCTACCACCCATAACCCCCCTAAGCCTAGGTAAACCCCCTAACACCCGAAGGAATCCTCGAGGCTCCCAAAGTCCTGAGAAAAAGGGTCTTTCGGTTCGGAAACGCTGCTCTAAGTGAAGCCCGACTTTCTATAAAACCCGTTGTAAGTGAGCTACACATACGCTATTTTTATTATTGCTTTTATTTAATTATAGTAATGTTATTAGGAACTTATAATAAGTACTTGGACTATTATTATGGGTTATATAAGTATTGTTTAACGCTTATATAATAGTAATAATAGCTAGACTATTAATTAGTCTCGGTGAATATTAGACTAATCTCTAGTGGTAATGATACTAGGTTTTATCCGAGGAAAATTGTGTTGAGAGTAACGAGGTGTTGTTCGAGTGCCGAGTCACCACCTTCTCAGGTGAGTGCATGGTCCCTTTCATCTTACACATAGATATGAAGTATTTTATATAAACTAGGTGTTATGTGGGCGTATTATTTGTCTAACTGTTATTTATGCTAGATGAAAGCTTTTATACAAGTTTTCTATGATTTAAACCATACATGTATTTATATCTACATAATATGTTGGGTAAAACGTGGGTAGATGAAATATGAGTTGGATGATGAGTTGAGAGGTGATATAGACCATGAAGTAATGGTGGGAGGTGGACGATGTGAGAAGTCGTGTTCCCAAATGCTGGCCCCGTCATCTAGCAGAGTGTGGATGACAACCACAGACTATTCTAGACAGTCAAGTGGAACACTAGCAGCCTCACAACCTGTAGGTGTTGTGAACGTTGTGTTCACCGCTGTACTCTAAAAACCCATTGACATGTATTGCGAGTGGACTCTAGAAAATGATTCTGTCAATAAAGGAGATAACCCTAGTAGCTGTGCTCGAAGGACAATACTGGCAGTGGCGCCTCATATAGAATGTCACAATTCTGGCAGTTGCGTCTAAGTTGATAGAACTAGCAGCTATGCTTCAGAGCTGTGTCATTGAAAATGATGGACTTCGTACCCATTCCTTAGTATAATCCTTAGGAATGAATGAATGAGAAATATTTGATTCTTACGGTAGATCCTTAAGAGTAAAGAAGATAATGGGGATGGGTAATTGGGTTAACTGTTCGATGATTAAACATAATAATTCTATTATTATGGGTTGTAAACTCTATGTACTCACCAAGTTTCCCAACTTGACCCACTCAGTTTATTTATATCATAGGTTTTGATATGAAGTCACATTACACTGAGAGATTAAGGAGATATAAATCACTAGTGATAATGAATGTAAGTTCTTTTTATGCTTATGTTTCTCTATTGACGATGACATCCCAATGTTTTTAAAATGAATAAAAATACATTTCTTCGGAAATGCTTTGATAATGTATTTATCATGTTTTACTGGGAACAAAATCCATAACA